TTTAACACTTTGTCTTGATGGTTTTTGTGTTTTTTGTAATTTTCTTTTCTACTCCAAATTTGGTCGTGAGGATCAGCAAAGAGAGTTTTTTGATCAAAACAATTATCGAAAATTTAGTATTATGTTTTGTCTAAACACTATTTATTATATAAATTACATGTTAAATTTGTTTTGCCAATTAATTTTTGATCTTGTTTTGTTAATTGGCATTAATCCATGATGCCTTATAATTTAAAAAGATGACAATAAATAAATACAATGCCTAAAAAAAAAGGTTGCTTTGCATCTTAAGAAGAAAAACATGAAGTCTACAATGTGCAAGTTGAAAAAGGTGATATCACTGAGCCTACATTAAAAAAGGATAAAATCGTTAATATGCATGCAAAAAAAGAGTATAATAAAAATTTGAGAACAATAATCTGGCAACAAAATAAAAAGAAAAAGCCACAAGATGCAAAAGAAAAGAATGTACTATTCGATGTTACAATATCAAATAATACATTACTTGATGCTTCAGTTGAAGCATTAAGTAATATATTACTTGATGCCTCAACTGAAACATCAAGTAATACATTACTTAATGTTTTAACTGAAATATTAAGTAATATATTACTTGATGCATCAACTGAAGCATCAAGTAATACAGCATCATTACAACCATCTCTTGCAACTATACAAAGCCCTCTACTACCCATTAATCCTATGGCAATTCTACACATGTATTTAGAAAAAGTTAATCAACAATGCTTAATAAAAAATCATCCAAAAGCAAATATGCCTATTTATGATCACCTGTGTTTATTAAGTATAAGCTGGTATATTCAGTTGTTACTAGATAAGCAAGGTAAAATGAATGCAAATTTTCAGATTACACAAACAGTATGGAATAAGGATGATTATACAGCAAGATGTATTTGAAAATAGGGAGATTGTTATATAGAATCTGAAGAACTTTTTTCTTATAATCAATGAAAACATAAAAAAATTACAAGCTTGCTTAATAATGAAGTTTTCTTAAACAGATGTCAAGGATGGTTGTGGCAACAATCTTCAGAGTCACGCTCTTCTAGGGCCCTAAAGATATATATTGAAAAAACATTGTTATCACAAGTAGATTATACAAAAAACACAATTTCTAAAAAAACATGTTAAATATATATGCATGTGTTGGGATACAAATATAATGAAAAAAAAGGTATGTACTATGATGGTCATGAGTGGCCAGATATAGTAGAATATAGAAAGAAGTAGTTAGAAAGAATGTTTAGATACAAAATATATATGAAAGACTTTGTTGATGATATGCTGAAAATACTTATAGATCCTGAACTTGAGTCTGGTGAAAGAGAGTTGGTGCAAGTAACTTATGATGAATGTCACTTTTATACTAATGATAGACAGTATAGAATTTGGATTAGGAAAGATAAGAATATTTTACATCCAAAACATATAGGGTGTTCTATAATGACTTCAGCTTTCATATGCCTATACCATGGGTTGTTGCAACTATCAGAAGAGCAATTCTGTGCCAATTCACATATTAAATATAGGAAAGCTTTTGTCATGCACTCTGTATAAGAGGATGGATATTGGAGATCAGAACACATGTTAGAACAGATTTGAACTCTTTTTATTTTTCATTAATATTGTTACAGATTATAATGAAATCAAGTTAAAATGAAATTTTGAGTTTCTATTTGACCATCTAAAACCCACTTATATTTGTTTATTATAAATTCTAAAGCTGACTCCTAATCCTAAAAAAGATAAAAATGCATTATAAATTTTAATGGCTTGTCTATATAAAATTTCATTTTAATCTAATTTCATTTAATCTGCTACAATTATTATCAACTCTAGCTTTTAGAAAAAGCAATACTTATATTTGAGGTATTGCATCCTGGATGTATGGAAGTCTTCTGCTTTGATCAATTGACAAACCATAACATCATAGCAGAAAATGCATTGGTGGCAACAAGTATGAACAAAGGCCCCAGAGAAAAACAACCTAAGATGCAAGATGGTTGATATATAGATAAGTATGGAGAAAGACAAAATCAAAAAATGGTATTTCTGGATAATCACCCAGTGTCAGAGTTGAGAGAAAAACCAAAAGGCATTTAGCAAGTGCTTGAAGAGCATAATATCTGGCTGGCTAGTAGAGTGAATTTGGTGTGTGAGCTTGATGTTCTAAAAAAAGTGATGATGATTTTGAAGAACTAGACTGTTATGCATTACAAATTATAGTACTACAACCAGATTTCTGTAAACAACAGTCAGTATTAGAAGAAGCTATTATTAAAAAAGAGCATATTTTCGAGCAATATCTAAATTCTATTGTGAATATAACTTCATTAAACAATATTGGGGTTTTATAAAGCAAGAACTTAGAGTATTGTGCAATTATAATTATAAAACTTTCTAAGCCAAATTTCTAAGATCCTCAATAGTGTTTTAACATCAACTATTTGTAAATTTGCCTGAAAATTATGAAGGTATATAGATGCTTATTCTAAGGGGTTAGCAGGTAGAGTAGCTGAGTAGGCTGTTAATAAGTTTAAATCACATTACCACTTGCCTGAAAATATAGAGAAAACAATAGATCAATTATAGATTAAAATAAAACAATTATATATTATTTTTCATCTATTTTTTTTTCATTCTGCCAATCTAATCCATAATGCTATAAGTTGGGTTTAGTTTAACCTTAACCCATTTTTATTAAATTAACCTTGCTTCAGACTTGTTTTAGGTTGCTTCAGACTGCTCCAAATTTATAAGCATATTTTTAAGACATACTTCAATGTAGGCTGGATTCAATCTGAAATAAGTATCACTAAAAAAAAACCTAAAAATTTAAATATAGTTTATATTTAAATTTTTAGGTTTTTTCTAGTAACACTCAAATAGCTTCGAAGTATGTTACTTCATTAAAAACTTATTAATTAACATATTTAAAATGCAGAGTGCTAAACTGTATTTAGAATAACATAATTAAAATAGTGTTATTAAAAACTGATCTACCCAACTAGTTACTATTTCGCTGCAAAAAAACTTCTTTAAGCTTAAACACCTTCTAAGTTATAATCATACTTTTCATATGCTCCCTTAGTATGACCAATCAACAAATATTTGTACAAAGAAAGACAATACTAGATTCATTTTTAATTAGTAGTTAAGTTTTTGTGAAAACTTTTTTATTTACTGCAAAAGTAAAAGAGTATATTATATTATTCACTATATATCAGAAAATTAATAATTAATTGAATTGATCAGTCATTTTATTGGTTAATTTGCTAGTTACATGAAAAATGATCATTGCCAAAAAATTGAAACATGTCATGTGATTGTCAGATATAGACTTCTTGCACTATATATGATATTTGAATATTTGTTTTTTGACATTTCATCTACTTATCTTTCTTATATTAGCCTTTTATATTAAAAAATTTCAACTAGTAGTAGCAGTTATATACTTTTTTAAAATAAAAAAAGTTCTGTATTAAGATATGATTGGTCTTGACTTTTGGTAAGACTTTTGCTTTTAGTAAAGTTTTTGACTTTAAGTAAAACTTTTGATTTTTAATAAGACTTTTAATTTTCAGTAAAAGTTTTGATTTTTAGTAAAATTTTGATTTTTAGTAAGGGTTTCAACTTTTAATAAAACTTTTGACTTTTAGTAAAGGTTCAACTATCAGTAAGATTTTTGACTTTTAGTATAACTTTTAACTTTCAGTAAAACTTTTGATTCTTAATAAAACTTTTAATTTTCAGTAAGACTTTTGACTTTTAGTAGAACTTTTGATATAAGTTATGGCATAACTTTTAATTTTAGCATAACTTTTAGCACACCAACATACTTTTGATATGTTTTTTGATACATCCAAATACTTTCGAAATTATTCTTAGTTATATAATAGAAAATTTTAATAAATAACAGTTTTATAAATTTTGTAAGGTTTGTATTAGGTATAGTGTTAGTATTTTATTAATAATAATATAATGTATTAGAACTTGTAATTTAATAAAGCAAATGATGCATATCCCTTCTAAAGACCATTGCAACCTTTAATTATAATATTAAATTTGTTACTTACAAATATGATCTTGCATTTATTATTACTTTAAAACTATTTAATATTATTTACAATTATGTATTTAATTTTACTAGCAATATTTTATTTCTTTAAGAATGTGTAATTTATCTTTACATTCTTCTTCTCTATACCTTTTTATTCAAAAATTATTTCTGATCAAAAATATAACTTATTGCATTTTGTATATTTTTTATATAATTGGTTATAATATTCTAGTATTACAATATTATATATTTAAAATAAATCAAATATTATTGTCATTAAAATTAGTGATTAATTAAAATTTTATTAATAAAATTGATCTAACAAATTAAAATTAAATATATATCAAAGAAAAAATTATTTTTTTTAATATTTAGTATAAGGCTAATTTGTGTTACAATTCAAAATAGGATCATTGATAATATGTACAAAATTAGGCACATATACAGTATATTTAGTAAATATAATATATGCAATAGATATAGCTTATATAGTGCATATAGCATATATAGCATATATAGCATATATAGCATATATAGCATATATAACATATATAGTGTATATAGCATATAAAGTGTAATTAGCATATATAATGTAATTAGCATAATTAGTGTATTTAGCATATATAGCATAAGTAGTGCATTTAGCAAATAGAGAAAAGTATATAAGCAATGCATTTAAAATAAAATATGGAAGATAGAGAATATAGAATGTAATAAAGAATACTCACCTTATATATTTGCCAAATCCAATACTTCTTTTGAGTATAGTAATATTTTACATTACACCAATAATCTATCAGCTACTTTATGAATAGAGAATTCTAGAGTAGTTCCATCCTGAATCATTATATTAGATAAAAAAAGGATTATATTTAGAATTTTATAAAAAATTTTTTTATTAAAACCTCAAAGTTCTTTTGTTAATAAAATTTTATTTTATATTATATACTGGTAATGATTACCAATAATGATAAATAGCAAATCTTATAAATATAATATTATACTAGTCTTATTTCATCTATTAGACTATTTACTCAATCACAAACAGAAATAAAAAATATTATTACAAAACTTTTACATAAGCTGTTTTAAAAAGATTATGAACAAATATGAAAACCATATTGCACAAAATTAGCACAATGGAAAAATGATAACAACTTTCTACAGCATACCAAAAATCAACAAAAAAGATCTATATAAACTAATTATAATAATATATACTATGTTAACAAACATTAATTACATAGTACAACTTGCAATTTATATAGACTATCAAGCTTAAAACATACTAATCCAAATACTTAGCTACCACTTTGTTATGCTCAATATAAAATTAATTTATAGTTTGACTATTGAATACTTTATAGTTATTCTATAAACAATGTTTTATACTATCAAATCTAGATGAGTTTTAACCACTCTAGTAGATTTAGATTGCAGATAAATTAGATAAATAGCAGTTAATTTTTTTCTATAATCTGAGCTTTATTTTTGTACCAATTTTGCAATTGGAATAAATTTTGTAATTTATATTCAGAGAAGCTCCTAAAGGCATTTTTAACAAATTAATAAAAATATGAACAAAACCTCAACTTAATTCTAAAAAAAAAAAAACTAAGATTGTAAAATACAAAATAAATTTATATATAAAAATTAAAGCTCAAATGACTTTATCTCAACCTAAACTGACTAAGGTGGTCAAAACTCATCTAAATTTGTAGTATTAAAATATAATTATAAGATGTGCTATAATTAATTCAGAGTATAAACAATATATTAATTTAATCCAATTAGTAAGCAGATATTAGAATGTAAATATAATTTATCTGCTATTTCA